CCTAAGTAAAAGGTTAACTACTTTTCAGAGGTATCGTTTTTATTCCCCTCCATTTTGTTCCTCCTAAAAGGAAGTTGTTCTTGATTTGAAAGGTTTGATAAATCAACAAGATTGAAATTTAAGTATGATGTATACCGAATTAAGATTTGTTTAGGACTTTCTTAACTCGATTCTCAAGTATAAATTTCTCAAATATTTCTTGGGTAGATAATTCTCAAGTATGAATTTCTTTTCTAGCAATTGCAGAGCCTGTTTTTGCTGTGGTCAAAGCTGACTGACAGACTGTGGTTTAAGTCATCTTTATACAAAAATATCTTCAAACTGCTGGTCGACACAAGAAATCTTTATGGGGTAGTTGGAGCTGAAAGCAGGTTAGGCATCTATTAAACATCACAGAACAGGTTAGACTGTTGTGGCTTAAAGAAGTGGATATTCCTCATGGTTTAACTGAGTTATGTGCCCAAGTCTTCAAAATGGGATTTATAGTATCAAGTGAGGCTGTTGGTTCTTCTAAAAATGTCCCAGTTTTCTGGCACATGGTTAGGTTTTACACCAGGTACATGGTGTTTTTTAAAACTGTCTAAGAGGGTAACCATTTACCAAACAGTCTGTGTCACCAAATACGTTAACCCTTTAAATTGACATTTATAAAATTAGGGAAAGTTAATAATTCAACTTCCTATCCTCAAATATTTGAATTGACTGTTTTTTCTCCTTTTTTGTGTTTTTTAACTTAGTGACATAAATGTATGCCCTAATTATTTTAAGTGCACAGTTTGGTGTACCTTTTGACCATCTATTTTGTTAAAAACTAATTATCCCATGGCTTTGGGAGAATCTGAGAAGTAATGTCTTCTGTAATCATCAATAAGAAGTGAAGAACTAAAAAGCCTCTTTAAAGTTCTGTAGTTTTTAATAGTTAAAGATTTTCTTTTTTAACCATTTATTATCTTGTTAGATGTTTTCCTGACATGTTATCTTAATGCCATTTTAATGAAAACAAAATTTTCTGATTAACATATTGAGAAGCTTCACATTAGTAACTGAGTTAATGAATACAGACTAATTGCTTAGATATCTTTAGAGATAATCTACTCAAGATATATTACTTCTACAGATTTCTGAAATCTAATAAATCAGGAAACATAAAATGCTGAAATGCTGACACGATATGATATTTGGGTGGGCTGGCCAATCCCCCTTCCCTTTTTTTCTGTTTCTGCTTTTTCCTTTAGGTCTGCACCTGTTCAGCATTTGGCAGGATGGCAAGAGGAGGAGCAGCAGGGTGAAACTGACACAGTTCTGGTGAGTTTCACTTTGCTGCTCCTCCTGATTCTCAGGGAAGGAATTTTGTTAATTTTCTGTTGGAAACTCCATCTCCAAGTGAATCCTTAAAATGAGATAACAATATTAGCCCTTTGGGATTGACTCAAAATTTGTATGTGTTCTACTTATTCCAGTCTGCAGCAGCTCTTTGTGTTGGAGTTGGGAGTTTTGCTGATCCAGATGACCTGCCCGGACTGGCACACTTTTTGGAACACAGTAAGATCTTTGTAAAATATAATTCCTGAGTGTTTTGTTTTCTTCCAGATTTGTATGACTTGATTTCAAAGATTAATAACTAATTTGATAGAAGTATGATATGTTTAATAAGAGATAAGGCTAAGAAAAAGTCCTGATGAATATCATGGGGGAAGACAATCTCATTGAATGTACTTACTTGAAGATTAGAATGAGACCACTTAGAAAATGATTTTACAATGTAGGTTTTATTATTACTCAGTTATGGTAAGGCCAATAGATCAGGAGACAATTGGCAATCTCAATGAATCTGGGCTATGGCCTTGGGAGGGGCAGTTTCTTCCAGGGTTAGCAAGGTCCTAAGATGTCAAAGCATCAGAAATTCAGAAAATAAAAACACACGATAATATCAAAACAAAACAGAACATCTTCAGTTTAATTATGAGTGTACCCAAGTAAAATCTGTTTGGATGCTATACAATGATACATATTTAAAACCATATTTATATTTGCTTTCCTGAATTACTCATTTTTTTATATTCTGGCTTTCTAAGATATTTGAGGGTAAACTTTATCTCATGAGTTTTTATAATAGCAATAAATTTACATATATTCTTATGTTTGCATTTTAAACTTTTGCAAATCATTTCTTTTTTTGAAAAAGTGCAGTTTTTTAGTATAAAAGTAATATATGAACATTATAGAAAATTATAAAAGCAGAAGTGTAATGAAAGTATTATCCAGACATAACCATTGTTAATGTGTTGCTGTATTTATTCCAGTTTTTTTTTGTATGTGAAAAATTTCATCCTTGATGATAAAAACGTTTTCTATGTCTTTGTGTTCTGTGACTTTGTGTTCTTTCCACTTAGTGGTATTTATGGGTAGTTTGAAATACCCGGATGAGAATGGGTTTGATGCTTTCCTGAAGAAGCATGGGGGTAGTGATAATGCTTCAACAGATTGTGAACGTACAGTCTTTCAATTTGATGTCCAGAGAAAATACTTCAAGGAAGCCCTGGATAGGTAACTAACTCAAAATATATTTTATTTTAATCTTCTGATGCTACCTTACAAATGGACATGTTGGTGGTGCTATGGTATTTCTTTTCAAACAGTATTCTAATTCTGTAGAATTGTCGTATTTTATTTGGGAAGAAAGAACAAACTATTAAATACCTTGGCTCTTGTTCTGTAATACTTAGTTTTTGTATTTAAGATTAAAATGAAACCCTCAAACACCTTTGAGTTTTGTAAATAATGTATTCTCTAGACTCATTATTGCAATTATTTTTTCTCATGTAGTTAGAAAATACGGAAAACCTGAGAAGCAAAAAAGGAATAAGATTGCTCCTAACTTTACAATCTAAAGCTAACCATGGTTAGCATTTTGGTATATAACCATCTATATTTTTAAATGTGCATGGGGTAATATTATTCATATTCTTTTATATTTTAAAAATGATATATTTATATAACTTATAAAACATGATTTTAAGTGGTTGTGGATTATTTTCATAGAGGTTTCATAATCAGGTCAATGAGTCACATATTAATGGACAGTTGTTTCCAGTTTTGTAGTATTTTAATGCTGTGATGAATATTCTAATCTTTGTGAACATCTTTAATTACTGCTTTTAGTTAAACTTAAAGAATTGAGTTTGCTGAGTATATTTGCATGTATATCTTTAAGACTTTTTTAAAAAAAGCTTTTGATACTCACTGCAAAATTGCTTTCCAGAAAGTTTGTCAGTCTACTAGTACAGTTTTGATGTCACAAGGTTACAGACCAAGATTTACATTACTAAAAAGGAGTCACTTTATCTCAAATTCTAGATATAAGTAAGATTGAAATATAAAAAAAAAATCTTGAGTTTGGCCAGTATAATGTAAGTCCCTTGAAGGCAGAAATTTTTGTCTACTTTTTGTTGGTATGTTTCCTGCATTAAGAATTTGGTAGACACTCAGATATTAAATGAATTAATCCATTTCTTTATAGAAAAAGTACCATAAAATCAAACCATAAATGACCAAAAACTTCTCAAAACATGAGAAAGTTCCAGGTTTCTTATATAAATTGTCGTGTCCCTTAAAAGATTATTTTTACCCTGAGAAATCTTTTGCAAAAAGTCCCGTAAGTCAAAGCATATTCCATTAATTTCAGTGGAATAAATATTTGTGTGCTCCTAAATCCTCAGATTAACAGCCTTTTTGCTAAAGGTGGCTTTTCTTCATTAATCTGTATAATATGGCTGTCCACCTGTTTTCAGCGAATTATTTATTTATTTATTTGTTTATTTTTGATATCATTAATGTATAATTACTTGAACAACATTGTGGTTACTAGACTCCTCCCATTATCAAGTCCCCCCCACATAACCCATTACAGTCACTGTCCATCAACGCAGTAAGATGCTATAGAATCATTACTTGTCTTCTCTGTATATATTGCCTTTCCCATGTCGCCCACTACATTATGTGTGCTAATTGTAGTGCCTCATTTTCCCCCTTATCCCTCCCATCCCATCCACCTTCCCCAGTCCTTTCCCCCTTGGTAACTGTTAGTCCATTCTTGGGTTCTGTGAGTCTGCTGTTGTTTTGTTCCTTCAGTTTTTTCTTTGTTCTTATACTCCGCAGATGAGTGAAATTATTTGATACTTGTCTTTCTCTGCCTTGCTTATTTCACTGAGCACAATATCCTCCAGCTCCATCCATGTTGTTGCAAATGGCAGGATTTGTTTTCTTCTTATAGCTGAATAATATTCCATTGTGTATATATACCACATCTTCTTTATCCATTCAACTACTGATGGACACTTAGGTTGCTTCCATGTCTTGGCTATTGTAAAAAGTGCTGCAATAAACATAGGAGTGCGTATGTCTTTTTCAAACTAGGCTGCTGCATTCTTAGGGTAAATTCCTAGGAGTGGAATTCCTGGTCAAACGGTATTTCTGTCTTGAGTTTTTTGAGGGACCTCCATACTGCTTTCCACAGTGGTTGAACTAGCTTACATTCCCACCAGCAGTGTAGGAGGGTTCCCCTTTCTCCACATCCTCACCAACATTTGTTGTTGTTTGTGTTTCGGATGTTGGCCATCCTAACTGCTGTGAGGTGATATCTCATTGGGATTTTAATTTGCATTTCTCTGATGATTAGCAATGTGGGGCATCTTTTCATGTGCCTGTTGGCCATCTGAATTTCTTCTTTGGAGAAGTGTCTGTTCAGCTCCTTTGCCCATTTTTTAATTGGCTTATTTGCTTTTTGTTTGTTGAGGTGTGTAAGCTCTTTATATAATTTGGATGTCAACCCCTTATCAGATGTGTCATTTATGAATATATTCTCCCATACTGTAGGATGTCTTTTTGTTCTACTGATGGTATCCTTTGCTGTACAGAAGCTTTTTAGTTTGATATAATCCCACTTGTTCATTTTTGCTTTTGTTTCCCTTGCCCAGGGAGATATGTTCATAAAGAAGTCACTCAATTTTTGCCTATATATTTTTCTAAGAGTTTTACCGTTTCATGACTTACATTCAGGTCTTTGATCCATTTTGAGTTTACTTTTCTGTATGGGGTTAGACAATAATCCAGTTTCACTCTCTTACATGTAGCTGTCCAGTTTTGCCACCACCAGCTGTTGAATAGGCTGTCATTTCCCCATTGTATATCCATAGCTCCTTTATCATGTATTAATTGACCATATATACTTGAGTTTATATCTGGACTCTGTATTCTGTTCCACTGGTATATGGGTCTGTTCTTCTGCCGGTACCATATTGTCTTGATTAGTGTGGCTTAGTAGTAGAGCTTGAAGTCAGGGAGCGTAATTCCACCTGCTTTATTCTTCCTTCCCAGGATTGCTTTGACTATTCGGGGTCTTTTGTCGTTCCATATGAATTTTAGAACTATTTGCTCTAGTTCATTGAAGAATGCTTTAGGTATTTTGATCGGGATTGCATTAAATCTGTAGATTGCTTTAGGCAGAATGGCCACTTTGGTGATACTAATTCTTCCTAGCCAAAAGCATGGTATGAATTTCCATTTATTAGTGTCCTCTTTAATTTCTTTTAAGGGTGTCCCATAGTTTTCAGGGTATAGGTCTTACACTCCTTGTTTAGGTTTATTCCTAGGTATTTTATTCTTTTTGATGCAATTGTGAATGGAATTGTTTTCCTGATTTCTCTTTCTGCTAGTTCATCATTAGTGAATAGGAATGAAACAGATTTCTGTGTATTAATTTTGTATCCCACAACTTTGCTGAATTCAGATATTAGATCTAGTAGTTTTGGAGTGTATTCTTTAGGGTTTTTTATGTACAATATCGTGTCATCTGCAAACAGGGACAGTTTGACTTCTTCCTTGCCAATCTGGATGCCTTTTATTTCTTTGTGTTGTCTGATTGCCATGGCTAGGACCTCCATAACTACGTTGAATAAAAATGGGGAGAGTGGGCATCCTTGTCTTGTTCCCGATCTTAAAGGAATAGCTTTCAGCTTCTCGCCATTAAGTGTAATGTTGGCTGTAGGTTTGTAATATATGGCCTTTATTATGTTGAGGTACTTGCCCTCTATACCCATTTTGTTGAGAGTTTTTATCATGAATGAATGGTGAATTTTGTCAAATGCTTTTTCTGCATCTATGGAGATGATCATGTTCTTTTTGTCCTTTTTGTTGATGTAGTGGATGATGTTGATGGATTTTCAAATGTTGTACCCTCCTTGCATCCCTGGGATGAATCCCACTTGATCATGATGGATGATCTTTTTGATGTATTTTTGAATTCGGTTTGCTAATATTTTGTTGAGTATTTTTGCATCTATGTTCATCAGGGATATTGGTCTGTAATTTTCTTTTTTTGTGGTGTCTTTGCCTGGTTTTGGTATTAGAGTGAATTAGTGTTGGCCTCATAGAATTCAGTAAATTATTTTATAGCTATTTTTAATTGCATACTTAAGGACATGCAGCACATACATTTGATATTCAGTACTTATGTAATTAAACATTTAATTCTAAAATAACAGATAATAGAGGCAAAAGGAATCAGTGAAAGTAAAGCAAATAATGCCAACATTATCTTTACTATGAACTTAGAAAACCAGGAATACTGGGGATGACTTCATATTTGCCCTTATTTCAAAGTTCTTAACTCTTAAGATTCACAAAATCCAAACAGGCCTATTATATGTGAAGAAATTTTAAGTATTAGACAAACTGAATTTGCATGACTTTATTTTTGGTTAAAAAACAAACCAAAATAAACAAATACAAAAAGTCCTGCCAAAGCCCTATATTTGACTATGTCCAAATATAAAGAAGGAAAACTTTCTTTGGAAAAAAACAAGAAGCAAAGGATATGTTGAATAAATTCTGACCACCTTGCAGATGCTGAAATTTGGTATTAAGTCTAAAGAACTTTTTTTCGTTTCTTTTTAAAGAGGTTCTATATATTTTGATCTAAGAACTGCTTCAGCAAATCAAGATATTTACATATTTATTAAAAATTTATACTTATAAAGAACCTTTCAGAATTGAGAGGAATGCTACTGTATTAATAGGAGAAATTAATAAGAATGGTAACATCATAAATGGTAGATAGTGGTAGAGCATTAAGTATTGCATATACTATAATAAATATACTTTTAGAATTAGTAAGGAGTAATAAGTCTTTGGATCATTTAGAAAAATATAGCATATATCAAGTGTCAGTATTATTTAAATAGGTCAGTAAAATCCAGTTCCTTCACACAGGTAACATTTCTTATCAGTATCTTGGATAATTTAAGTAAAAATGACTGAATTTTTACTCCATAAGTAAATAAAAATGGAAGCTGCTTTTGTCTGGGTAGTATTTGCTAATTTCATTAAATTTGAACTTTGCTTTACTAGTATTCCAGGGTGAAGGCAAGAAATACCAAAGTGCAAATGTCTGCAAAGTGGGATGTCTCATAGGAGCTCCTCCTCATAATCAGTTGGGTCTCCAAAAGACTTCACCCTTAGGTTCAGGAAATGGATCAGCCAAACTAAGA